GATGTTGTTTTTATATTATTTTTGCTCTGGAGTTAAGTTTGGTATTAGATATAAATAACTTTACACATATATTCATTAACTCAACACCTATATTGTACATGAGTATTAGTACTAATATTTATTTAAACCAAATGGAAATTAGTTTAGCAATTTCCAATTTTCTCCTCTAATGGAAATAGTTTGGACCATCAAGTTGTTGCTGCTTTAAAACTTGCCTTTGTTGAAGATTCATGACCCACTTTCGAATGTAACAAATTAACAATTAAAATATAAATATAAATTTACATATTGGGATACAAATAGTTCACTTCAATTAAAGAGTACCGACGACCTATGAGGCTTTAACATTTAGGTAAGTTCATTCAAGGCTGATGCAGCGCAATACATAGACTGAGTCAACTCAGCAAATTAAAAGGTACACCTTCCTGGGCCGATAATTGTGTCCCCACAAGTGGCCCAAACCTGGCCCAATATCTACTATCTGTACATTTGCCACCCCAGACTCCCCACATAAATACTCACGCGTTGACTAACGTTAATACCCGTAAGATGCACAAATTATAGTACAAAAATTATTTTATTATATTTAACAAAAAAATAAATAAATTATTATTTAATATTATTAAATTATAATTAACACAATATGCAGTTCTATTCAACACATTCAATTCAGTACTAATATGAAAACTATTTGTTTACTATTATTATTGTTTTATATTTCTATATTTCTTTTTGTAGGTCATTACTATCCAGTATATAAATTTATTATTTATAAGTTTATTATAGATGTATAAGATCATACTAGTATTAATACTCATGTACAACATGAGTGTTGAGTTAATGAATATATGTGTAAAGCTATTTATGTCTAATACCAAACCAAACTCTAGATCAAAAATAATATAAAAACAACATCACGAAGCATAGATTTTCGCCATGTCAGCATTCGAAGCGTGAGAATCTGCCACCTAGGTTCAACACGTTTTGAATTAATATATAGGGGAGGGATGATATTTGCTTACAAATTGCTTACATGTACTTACAAAAATGTCGATTATCTTAGTCTTATAACTTTTTTAACAATTCATTAAAATGCACATTGCTCGATAATTGACTTATGTTTAACCCATATTATTTATATTCATTTATTATAATTATAAGTACATGAAATGTTAAATTGTTTGGTAATTATATTTCAATATTATTAACCTTAGTCCTTATGCAACACAATTTTTTTCATGGTTAAATATTTAATTTTTATTTTTATATTTTTGTTGATCTTTATTTCTTTAATTTATTTTTTCAAAATGTATAATGAGTTAATTAGTATCCATTTGAATATATAAATACATTATATATTTTCATGATTACCAAGTGCTATAATTTAAATTACGATACTTGAATAATTTGTTTACTTATTTCTATTTAGAGAATAATTAATAATAAAATTTATTATTTTATAAACATGAATATATTTTGTAAGATGAAACATAAAATTCTAAACTGTACCCGACCATCAAATATTATTTTGATTAAAATATTATTTTAATGTTCAATAGTATCATCATTATAATATATTCAATGGAGTTTTACCTTTTGATGGTTAAGTTGATTACATTTTAGAAAATTATATTAATATTTAAATTATTTATTATGTTAGTATGATTCAAACATAATTATTATAATTATTTTATTGTATTTTTTAACTACTTCTAATCTAATAATTAATTACATTAATATCTACGACAATAGATGAAAACATATTTAATCAAATCAATTTTTCATAATATTGTTTTATTTGTGTCCATAAATTACTATGAAATAGATATAAAGATCTTATTGAAATATATCTAACCAATCTACGGTTTAGTCAATTGTATTTGAGTCAATTTATAAATTATGAATAGTAACCATTGAGTACAGAAAAAATAATTAACATTTTTACATATAAGGTTTGTTAA